CTATGCTCAGAACTAACTGCGAAGTCTTCTGTTGCTTGGATATTAGCTACTGTATTTTTGCCTCAAAAAAAAAAGGCTGAAAACCTGGGTGTGTCTTATACACTGAATATAGCATTTTTTGCCTCCCAAAGCCCACCCCCTTCACCAAAATGGTTGTGCAGAGCCTGTAGAAGGCTTTCAGAAAGCTCCTGGGGGCTGGGGAGGACGGAAATGAGTGAAAAACAGACTCTTTTTTGCTTGATTTCCCCCAGCCCCCAGGAGTACTCTATAAAGACTACGCCTGCAATATTTTTGACAAAAAATGGGCCCATTTTCACAAAAAAGGGCCAGTTTTTTGCTCATTTTGGGAGCCCCCACTCCCCAGGAGCACTCTGCAAGGCCCTTAAAGGCTATTCATGCCTTTTGGGGGTGGGGGGTGGGAAACGGGCCCATTTTTGTGAAAAACGGGCCGTTTTTGGGAGGTTTGGAGAGTGCAAACCCCCTTAAAAAAAAAACCTGTCTCTTCAAAACCTTGGTGTGTCTTATACTCCAAAATTTACAGTACTTGAGTGATAGACCAAGGTTTAAAAATAGATGGGCAAAATCTTCATGCAAAGGCCCACTACCCCGTGGGATCCCACCCACACAATATATCAGCAAGCATAGTACTTGTTGAAGAAGGGGGTAGAGTGGGCTGCAGATCTTGATTGCAGAAGTCAGTCCGGCAACATTCAATGGTACGGCGTCGTAGAACAACTCGGGAATCCTACAGAAGAAATTGCACACTGAAGCAGCGCAGAAGAACATAGATATATATGTATGTATTCACACATCGGTTAATTATTATTTAGAGTATGATGGCAGAAGTAAAATAAACACACACACACACTGCATATACAGTCTATGCAGAGGTGAGTTCCTGCCGGCATTACTACCGGTTCAAAGTGCAAAAATTTTTGCTCTGCGCGCATGCAAACTTGCACTTTGAAAGATCTAAGCATGCGCACATCATTAGCAAAGGGGAAAAAAACCCACATTTTTGCAAAGAAAATTGTTCTGCGCATGTGCAGAACAGAAAAACAAGATGGCGCCACCAACCATAGAACTGGTTCGGGTGTGTGTCCGGCGGAGTTACTACCTACTCGGCTGAACCCACCTCTGAGTCTATGTAAAACTTGGCCTCATAACTGAATGTCCAATTCAGCTACATTCAGAGGCGATGGCCTCTGGCATTGCTTCGTGCAGACCTTTGTGCATAATTTTGCACAATATGTTTAATAGTTTCCTGATCAGCACCACAATCGCAACAAGGGGAATCTTTCCAGCCCCACTGATACAGGGCAGAGACAATTCTTCCTGTATCACATCTAATTCTGAGACAGGTTAAAAAAACAACAACAGATGATTTGGTCACTAATGGTCAGAGGCCACAAGAAAGTAAGTACATTGGACTATCAGCTAGTCATATGTATTTTCACAACCATGCACAGATGTTCAAGAATCTACAACAAAGCACTGGAAAGCAGCCATTGGTATATATTGTTGCTTTCCAAACAATATTTAAAATAGAGAAATGAGATCTGCCACAAAAGGTTGTGATGTGAAGGTCAGGTAGACATAGCGGTGACCTTCACCTAGCAATAGCACTTATGTATCCCTTCACAGTGGTCTACAGAACTTTTTGAGTGATTTACAGAGTCAGCATATTGTCCCTGACCATCTGGGTCCTCATTTTACCGACCTCGGAAAGATGGAAGGCGGAGTCAACTTTGAACCGGTCAGGATCAAAACTCCCAGCTATGGGTAGAGTCAGTGTGCAATTTGGCATTTTCTACTTCATGAACATACACCATTTTCTCTAGGGCGTTTTGAGAGCTACCCATTTGATCTTGCCTGTTGTAGCCAGTCAGGGGCCAGTGCATCTAGTGGCAGATTCGGATAGTGAGGAAGTTCGGGAGGAACATGGGCCAGTCCTAGAGTCTGGGGAAGGCTCAGATGAGGGCTTTGTATCGGAGGCAGAGAGTGGACCAGGGCTGTCTGACAGTTATCAGCTGTCTTCGGAGTCGGGCATCAGTGGGGCAGAAGAACAGCTGGAGCCTGTTCACAGTGCGCTCAGCACAGAATTGCCAGACAAAGAGAACAGCTAAAGAGCAGCGGCTGACTTGGGAGTAAAGGCACAGGTGGACGGTGAATGGCCCCTCCCATAGGGAATAAAGAGGAGCGAAAGGGGAAGGGAGTTTGCAGGAGACAATTAGTTCAATTTATTAGGGTGAAGATCTGTTCCTGACTTCTTGCCAAGTAATTGCTCCTACAGCATGGCGTTTGGAAGATATCACCCTGGCACCTCTCCAAGCCTGATAAATGTTGCTGGAGAGGAATTCCCGTTAACCTAAATAAAAGAGGTTTTATTGGGATGAGGAGTCGGCTTCATGATCTTGGGAGGCCTAGGTCAGAACACTGCCTGCCTTTTCACATACACAATAGTTTCCTCGGAGTTAAGCTAAAGCTCATGCAACTATCACAATGGTCTTCTGAACCACAACATGGATGTAGTTTGTCATCTCCTTGTTCTGGAACTTTTCCCAACTTCTCAGATACTAGTCTGTAGATCTGGTATTGCTTGGTGGTCTCTCATATAGATAGTTCTCCCTTACTGACGGCAACTGGGACCAGCAACCATTAAGTGACGTGGTCCATAGATGAACTATAACATGACCATGCAGGACTCACAACACCAGTTCTGTTGTGGTCATTAAGTAAATCATTGAGGGGATAAGTGTGACATCACGTGAGTGTGATTTGCAGCAAACAATGACTCAACTTTCAGAGAATTCTACCTGGTGACTGAGATCCTTCACTAACATATTGCCACTCACTTTGGGGAATAAACTCTAAGACTGGTGTAAGGGAGACATTTTTACTAATATTAATATTAATTTATTAATAAGAATTTTAGAAGCTGGCACCTTCCCATAACCAATTGGTTCAGACTGAAGAAGCTGCTTCGATGGCCAGAAAAAACATCTCAAACAATAAGAAAGTAAATCTAGTTGCTGTGACTCAGACTATTTTTGATAAAAGTGGCAACCTTTTAAAGCTTTTGGGAAAAAAAATCAATATGCTGTCCTTCGCCTGCAGCAAGCACTTAGGTTTTAACAAAAATTGATAAGCAGCTTTAGGGAAAGTGAATAGCGATGGCTTCTCCTTCCTCATTTCTGGAAACCACTTAGAGAATGAGCCATGAGGTACCTTGCACTGGAAGTCCGAACCTTCGTATTTCATGCAGCCGGAAGAAAGAGTTTTTTCTCCGTTTTCATCTTCCTCAATGATGGCAAAACAATGTCCATTTGTTCTGAAAAATAGATGAACTCGCTTCAGTTCTCTGAATGCTGCGTTCAGCCAGTCTCTTCAGCAAACAGTGTTGTTTTTTTCTCCCTCTAACACAGGGGTGTCAAACTCGATTTCTTTGAGGGCCGCATCAGGGTTGGGTTTGACCTTGGGGGGGGGGGGCTGGCCAGGTTGGGCATGGCCAGCTCGACACAACTCATATCGGCGCCTGTGGTGGCCCAAGTGCTCTGCTAGCAAA